TTGCATCCAGCCGCACTGCCTGCGTGTCCTCCTCACTACCCCCAGCCCTGCCCCCCTCAACCCCTGCAGCCATGCCTCAACGGGCACCATCATCTGGTCTTTTCCAGCATGTCACGTCAGGGGTTTCTCTTGCCCTGGGAACATGCTTGTCATTTTCCTTCTTGACTTGATATCTCATTCACTTTGGGGGGTGGGGTGGGGGCAGTCAAATCACACCAATCCAAGCTCAGGGGACCATATGCAGTGCCAAGGATTGAGCCAGGGAGCTGGACAAAGCAGCTTCATGCAAGGCAAGTGCCTTCCCTCCTGTTCCATTTCTCCAGCCCCGACAGCTCCTTTCTGTCCCTTCCCTTATTCCATCTCATCTCTAACCCTTCTGCTGGTGGGCCGCACATCACGTCCAACCATCCCTTCGGTGCCTCTGAGCAGTAGCAGTTGTGAATAAAGCTGTGATTCCATTCCGCATGCAGTGTCGCTAGAGACAGATGTTGTCGATGTTTTCATCTCCTCTGGGTAAACAGCAAGAATTGTGTTTGCTGAATTGTATAGACAAATAAGTTTGGGCAGGGGGCAGGGAGTGGGGGAGGAGAGGCAGGACAGCAGGTGCGGGGCTGGCCTTCACGCACTCGACCTGATTCAATCCCCAGCACTGCATCTATCTGGTCCCCGAGCCTTGCCAGGAGTGATTGCAAAGTGCAAAGCAAGGAGTAAGTCCTGAGCTCTGCCAGGCATGGTCCAAAAACTGAAAACAACAACGAAGAAATCTGTTTAATTTTGTAAAGAAACGGACAAACTGTCCTCTGAAGTTTGCACCAAGGCACGTTTCCACCGGCCACAGCCTCTCCCTGGTATTGGTGGTGGTCACTGTCACTGTCACTGTCCTCCCGTTGTTCATCGATTTGCTCGAGCGGGCTCAGTAACGTCTCCATCGTGAGACTTTGTTGTTACTGTGTTTGGCATCTCAAATACATCATGGGTAGCTTGTCAGGCTCTGCCATGAGGGCGAGATACTCTCGGTAGCTTGCCGGGCTCTCCGAGAGGGGTGGAGGAATCGAACTCGGGTCGGCCATGTTGCTGCGTGCAAGGCAAACGCCCTGCCGCTGTGCTATCGCTCCAGCCTTTTGGTGGTGGTGGGTGTTTGAATTCTGGCCGCACAAACAGGAGAGAGGTGATGCCTGGCTGGCAGCTGACTCTGCTTTTCCCTGCCAGGGCCTGGCGTGGCGCAGTCATCGGTGCCTCCGCTTTCTCTGCTGAGATGTCTGCTACCACCGGGGCCTGTCTTTTGAACTGCTATTTGCTGCTTTCTTGCTGAGTGCCAGGAATTCTCTGCGTATTTTGGAGAACAGTCTTTGATCAGATTTCCTCTTGCAAATATTTTCTTCTGACCCATCGCTTGTCTTCTCCTGCTTGCAGTATGTGCTCTTCGCATCACAAAATTTACAAAGTGGAGTAGAGACGTAAACATGACTCTGGGGACCAGAGTGGAGCTGCCCAAGTTGAAGCAGGTCTTTAAAACACACAAGAGGGGCTGGAGCGATAGCACAGCGGGTAGGGTAGGGCGTTTGCCTTGCACGCAGCCAACATGGTCAACACAGGTTCAATTCCCAGCATCCCATATGGTCCCCCGAGCACCGCCAGGAGCAATTCCTGAGTGCATGAGCCAGGAGTAACCCCTGAACATCGCCGGGTGTGACCCAAAAAGCAAAAAAAAAAAAAAAAAAAAAAAAAACCACAAGAGAGAAGCCGGAGAAATAGGACAATGGGTGGGGCACTTCCCTTGCATGGGGCTTCCCAGGTTTGATCCCTGAACCCCATCTGGTCCCCCCAAGCCCACTGGTGGGTAATCTGTGCACACAGAGCCAGGAGTAAGTCCTGAGCACAGCTATGTGTGCACCCCCCTAGCTGGGGAGATGACAGGAGGTGGGGCACTTGTGCATGTGTGAGGTCCTGTGTCCACTCCCCATGAGAGACAGAGAAGCAAAGGCAGCACCATGACAGGTTCATAAAGGAGCCAGAAGCAGCCAGGCCTAGGTTTCGGTTCCAGAATCCCTGGAATTGGGCACAGATACCTGGAATTGAGTCATGATTTCCTCGAAGCGATCTCATGGTGCAGTCAACTAAGGGTTACCAATCAGATGCAGGTAGGGAAGCCCCCCAACCCCCCACCCACCATATAACCCTTATGTAACTCCTATGCAACTCTTATGTAACTCCAACTTATAACCAATCAGCTGAGTACAAGTAGTGGAAAGCCTCTCAGACTGCAGCCAAAAGGGAGGTCCGAGGAAAGTCCCTGTTATATAATGTTATGGCATAAAAGCTCCTCACTTCTGAAGTTTGGGGCCACTTGTTCCAAAAACGTTGCCACTGTGTCAGTGAGCTGGATGAGCGCCTTAGCTCAAGCTAGCCAATAAAGACCCTCTGCTTATTGCATCGCAATTTGTCTTCGTGTGATTCCTCTGGGGAGATCTTGGCCCGGTTCAACACCCAGCACTGCATCCCCCACGGTGGTTCCAAGCACCGATCCATCAGGACTACACCACAACCACTCTGCTGGGCAGTGTTTTGTTTTTTTTCTTTTTTAAAGAAAAGGGCTGGAGCGATAGCACAGAGGTAGGGCGTTTGCCTTGCATGCAGTCAACATGGCCAACCTGAGTTCGATTCCTCCACCCCTCTCGGAGAGCCCGGCAAGCTACCAAGAGTATCTCGCCCGCACGGCAGAGCCTGGCAAGCTCCCCGTGACATATTCGATATCCCAAACACAGTAACAACAAAGTCTCCAATGGAGACGTCACTGGGCCCGCTCGAGCAAATCGACGAACAACAGGAGGGCCTCTTTTTAAAAAAAAATAACACACGTGATAGCATGGGGCTGGTGCTGGGCTGGGTGAGAGCACACACCTACCAGGAGCCAGGATCGCTGCACACATGCACCCCAGCACTGCTGGGAGTGCCCGCCTCCACCTCTGACTGAAGACAGAGTGTGCCAGCCTGCATGGACCATCCCCTGTAACATCCCCCTTTCAGGGCGGAGTCTCAGGTCAGGTGGTCCCAAGGGGACACTGCAGCCTGTATGTTGTGACAAAGGACACAGGGAGGGTAACAACGTTCAGTGCTGGAGTGCCCCGCCTGTGAGCTCATGGCCCAGGAGGTGAGGCCTTGACCTCATGTGGGCCGGGAGCTATTGCCAACCCCACCCCCACACCCCCACTGGGCATCAGGTCAGCTGGCAGGAAGCTGGCTCTGCCCGCAGGACGGCCACCTGTGACCCCATGTGCCCTCCCCCAGGTCTCAGCCAGATGCCAGGTTCTGTTGCATGCAGAGCAGATCAGGCCATCCCCATGTCAGCCCTCCCTTGGCGGCAAGCACACGGGAAATCACACATGCCATCAAAGTGCGACTGCATTTTATTTCAAGAAGCGAGGCTGTGACCGCAGTTCAGAAGGTCAGAGCGTGGAGGACAATTTGGACGGTGAAGAAAACCCACGCTACGCTAAGTCACCGCGGAAGACTCGTCCTGGGCATGGAAGAGACTGCTAGCACCCTCAGCCCAGGCCGGAGAATCATCTTTATTCGATAATCAAGGCTGCAGCGACAGTAGAACAGTGAAGGCACTTGCCTTGCATGCCGCTGGTCTGCACCTGATCCTCAGTGAGACAGAAGCGTCCCTAAGCCCCACCAGGGTCCCTGGGTGCAGAGCCAGGAGTAACTGAGCACAGTGGCCCCCGAGCCAAATGAAACAGAACAAAAACGAGGGCCAGAGAGATAGCGAAGGGGGTGAGGGGCTTACCTTGGATGTGATCAACTCTGAGGTACAGCCCGCCCCCAAGGGCCTGGGACCCTCTCTGGGCATGCGCAGCTAGATCCAGCCCCTAGAAAGCCGGTTTTCAACGCCTGATCTGCGTGGGACGGGCACAGAGGCGCAGCTCTGGGCATGTGATCAACTCTGGCACCGCATATGGTCCCCCCAAATTCCCCTGACCACAGAGCCAGGAATAGCCCCTGAGCACCCCTGGATGTGCCCCTCCCCTTAATAAATAATTAAAAACAAGACAAAGAGGGTGCTGGCGGGATTAAGGAGTAAGCCCTGAACACTACCATGTGTGGGCCAAAAATAAATACACAAATAAATATAAAAACAAAACAAAGGTCAAAGGTGGCGATAAGTACACAGCTGACCTGAGTTGATCCCTGGCACTGCCTGTGGTCCCCCTGAGCACAGCCCGAGGGCAGAGCCAGGAATAAGCCCTGAGCACAGCTGGACTTGGCCCCCAGACAAAAACAAAACAAAGGAAAACTAGTCAGATACAAGAAGAGGCAGAAAGAGCCTGTCACCCATTCCTGGCCCAAAGAGATGCAGAAGCAGGCGAGGCCCTTGCTTTGCATGCAGCTGACCAATTTAACCCGTCCCCCAATGTCTCTGAGAGCAAACCCCAGCACAAAGCTGCAAGCAGACTTCAGTACTGCCCGGGCCGGAATGGGGGGGGGCGGGGTTTGAGGGGGGGATGCAACATGCCCTCCCCAAAAGCAAAGCGAAATAAAGACCAGGTCCTGAATGTGTGTGCGGAGGGTCTGCAGAGCGCAGCCTGAGGGGGAGAAGCCACAGCAGGGCCCTGCACCCCGGGAGCGGGGGCTTATTCCTGCCCCCACTCGGCCACCAGAGCTAAGGAACCTCCATGTCAGGGTGGCGGCTTGGGACTAGCCACTTCACTGCCACAGGATCCCCAGGGACACACCTCCAGTCCCCGCAGGACAGAGACCTGGGAGTCCCCAGAGTGACAGCCAGTGCGGGAAGAGTCCCTGCACCTCCGGACATTCTTGGAACCCCAATTTCCTGTGCAGGTGTGTCCTGACCAACCCGCAGAGTCACAGACTCCTTAGCCTGCCTTGGTGTCACTCTGCACTCCTCTTCCTCGCCTTCCCTCTCTCCCTCCCCACTTCCTCCCCCCACCCCTTCTTTGCAACAAGCACCTTCCTCAATTTCTGCTCTATTCTAGAAGCGGAAGGAAGGCCAGGACCAGCTGGACGCCCCTGGTATGCTGCAACATACTTGGTGGACCCAGAGTCCCTTTTCTTAGGTGTTTTCGTTAGTGAATTCCCCTAATAACAGGAAGTTATCTGCAGGGTCCAGAATTTCCCACTAGTCTTATGGGCCTAATGCCCTTTGCTAGTTTTCGGGGTATTTTGGCGGGGAGGGGCTGGAGGAAGGAAGATGAGGGGGGAAGGTTGTTGGTGGGGAGTGGGCATTTGGAACTCGGTACCCAGTGGTCCTCAGGGGCTATTCCTGGTTCGCAGCCCCTGGAGGCACTGTGGGGATTCTGTATGGTGCTGGGATTTGAACCAGGGTGGCAGCTGTCACCGCCGACACAGTTGCATGCAGATCGAGTGCCTTGCTGCTCGACTCTCTCCACAATTGTTCTGAAAAGGAGCCTGAGGACCACTGTGAGCTCAGCTCTTCAGGACTCTCCCTGCAGATTTCTCGCTGCTGCTGGTCTTGCTTGGGGGAGGGAAGGGGATCGGCAGCCGTGTCCTGCACGCGTGGCGCCTTTGGACCATCCAGGACCAGTGTCCTTGTGTATATGAGGCTCAGGAAACCACTGGAGTTTTATTTATTTATTTTTCTTTTTGGGTCACACCAGCAATGCTCAGGGGTTACTCCTGGCTCTGCACTCAGGAATTACTCCTGGCGGTGCTTGGGGGACCGTAGAGGATGCTGGGGATTGAATCCAGGTTGGCTGCGTGCAAGACAAATGCCCTCCCTGCTGTACTATATCACTCCAGCCCTAAACCACTGGGGTTTTGCAGAGCTCTTCAGGTGTCCAAAGGAGGGACCCTGTGAAGGAAGGGATTCCTCCCTCTCAAACCTCTTGAGTGACAAGTCAGCCTGAACAACCGGAGAAATTATCCTCTGAAATAAGCGCCAAATGTGGGGCCGGAGTCCCAGGGCAGGAAGTGCTGAAGCTCATTCCAAGCCTGGAGATGGGTCAAGAGTGGGAGCACATGCCCTGATGTGGGAACCCCAGGCTCCATCCGCCGTGCCCCACTGTCCCCCAGCACCACCACACATGCCCTCAAATTAATTCCTTCATTTACATGCTTTCTCACCACTTTTTTTTGGGGGGGGGAAGGGGGTCTCACCCAGTGATGCTCAGGGCATACTCCTGCCTCTGCGCTCAGGAATTCCTCCTGGTGGTGCTTAGGGGGCCATATGGGATGAACCCAGGTCGGCCGTGTGCAAGGCAAATGCCCTCCCCGCTGTCCTAGGGCTCCAGTTCTTCCTTTCTCTTTCTGTTTTTGGGCCATACTCAGCGATACCCGAGGTCTACTCCCACCTAGAGGCTCAGGTGTGTCTCCTAGCAGTGATCAGGGAACCAGGCAGTCCTGGGGACTGGACATCAGCTTCCTGCATGCCAAGCATGCACTTAGCCCATGAGCTGTCCCTGCACCCTAAAGGATTCTTTTCAGCACTCAGCACACAAGTCTCTGCTTTGGGCCAGCTCCCAAACAGCCCCTTCCTGGGAGGACTTAGCACCAAACAACCCTCACTTTCATAATTCCCTGCAAATCACTCACCTGGGAATGAAGAAGCAGAGCCCCTCTCCCTTACCCCCTCAGTGCTCAAGGGGGCCCCAAGAACCTGCCCTTCCTTGCCCCTCACCTCAGGAAGGAACCTGCACTTATTTTTTTTTTTGCTTTTGGGTCACACCCAGCGATGCACAGGGGTTACTCCTAGCTCGTGCACTCAGGAATCATTCCTGGCTGTGCTCAGGGGACCATATGGGATGCTGGGAATTGAACCCGGGTCGCCCGCGTGCAAGGCAAATGCCCTTTCTGCTGTGCTATCGCTCCAGCCCTGGAACCTGTACTTTAATGACTTGGGGAGGGGTTTGGGATTGGCACCTGTGCTTAAGTCACCCCCCTGCATGCAGGGGGCTGGGCCTTCCGTGGACCGGCAACGCCACCCCACAGGCTGGCCGCCCGAATCTCAGGCATGTGCTCTGGTGTCCCAGCCTCAGCGTCCTGAGGTTTTATTAGCCTGGTCACAGTGTACAGCCCTCACATCGTAAACAGTGCGGTGGGAGCGAGGGACCAAGGACCGCAGGCAACTGGCACAGCAGGTCCCGCGAGTTTCTGAGTCACAGCAGGAGGGGGCCACGTGCCTGCGCCCCCGCAGCCTAGGAGGTAGATGCGGCTGGGCCTGCCACGGTCCCTCGAGCAGGTCAGCGACACCCACACGGCTGCCAGCCCTTGTCCCGGGCTTGGCCACACTGAAGCGCACAACCAGGGATGCGCTCAAGTGCCGGGCAGTTCACGTGGGCTCGGAAAGGCACTCGAGGCATCTCCCGCACCCGCGGGTGCAGGGGCTTTGGCTGGTGCTGGGCTGTCGGCCGGAGGCTGGGCAGTGCAGCAGCAACAGCAGCTGGAGAAGAGGCGGGTGCGAACGGCGCGCGTGCACAGGACGAACATGATGCAGTTGGCACCTCCCTGAAACGTGTTCCCGATGCCCTGCCAGGGAGAGAGGCCGTGTCAGGGTCCAGGAGGGGCAGGAAGAGCAGCCCTGGCCCCGCCCACTGCGGTTTCTGGCTCCTCCCCTAACCTGCCCATGGGCTTCTGGCCCCGCCCACTGCAGAACCTGGCCCCTCCCCTGACCCGCCCATAGGCTTCTGATCCCGCCCACTATGAGCCTGGCCCCGCCCACTGTCAATACTGGCTCCTCCCCTGACCCGCCCATAGGCTTCAGATCCCGCCCACTATGACCCTGGCCCCTTCCCTGACCCGCCCACAGGCTTCAGATCCCGCCCACTATGATCCTGGCCCCTCCCCCGACCCGCCCATAGGCTTCAGATCCCGCCCACTATGATCCTGGCCCCTCCCCTCACCCGCCCATAGGCTTCTGACCCCACCCACTACAATCCTGGCCCTGCCCACTGCCGATACTGGCTCCTCCCCCGACCCGCCCATAGGCTTCTGACCCCGCCCACCCCTACACTGGCCCCGCCCACTGCCGATCCTGGCTCCTCCCCTGAGATTCTGACCCCACCCACTGCGTGCTCCATCTCGGATTCCCCAGGACCCTGTGGCCAGTCCCAGGGAGGGTGGACCTACGTGCAGAACGACAAGCACCGGAGTCCGCACGGCTGGGGAGCCGCACAGCGTCAGCACGAAGCGCACGGTGCTCCAGACTCGGAGGCAGATGAAGATGATGGGGATGAGGACCAGCTTCTTGTCGGCCACTGCGGGGTGGCTCTGCAGCCGGTGCGCGTGGGACAGCAGGGGCCGGTACTCGGAGAGCGCCTCGCGCTGGGGGACACGCGGCCCAGGTGAGCGGGGGAGCACAGGGGTGCTCTGCCCCGTCCCTCCCCTCGCCTCTCTGCCCCACTCCACGCATGGCTCCCGCCCCAGGCCCATCCGCGTGCATCAGGACAGCAGACTTGGCGTCTCTGTCCCCCTCCTCGGATGCACAAGCAAGTCCTGTGCCTCTCCAAAGAGACCCGCGTGTGGGTGTCGCGGCCATAGCCTGCTGGTCACTCTTGATCACCGCCTCCCCTCCGCCTGTGGAGGGCAGCACCCAGAAGGTCCTCAACAGGCCACGGAGAGGCCTTTGTCTGTGTGGCAGTTAGCCCTTCGCACTGAGGCCACCAGGCCCGTTGCGGGTAGGGTACAGCGGGTGGGGAAGGCGGGGCTCGCTGGGGCCAGCACGTGGGAGGACACCCCTTCTTCCTAGACTCCCCCAGCCTAACCCAGCGGTCTGCGTCCCCGGCCTTACAATAGGGCTCCCATGGCTGAGACAGGAGGACGAGGCGAGCAAGATTTTCCCCACCCAGGGGCCAGAGCAATAAGAGCAATAAGCGGGGAGGGCGTTTGCCTGGCCTGCGGCTGACCGGGTTCGATCCCCGGCATCACATAGGGTCCCCCAGCAGCCAGGAGTGCTTCCCCAGTGCAGAGCTGGGTGTGACCCAAAGTGCAAAGAACAAAGAGAAAAAAGTCTCCCCCGCCCTTCGGGCATGCCGCCGCCCACCAGGGGGGCAGGAGAGGACGCAGCCCGCCGGACCCCACGCACCGCGCCGCTGACGTGTTTGCGGATGAGCAGGTAGAGCACGGGCAGCGCCACGTAGGCCAGCAGCTCCCACAGCTTTCCGGTCAGCAGCATCCACAGCACGCGGTCATCAGCCTCCAGGTCGATCCAGCACCAGCCCACCGATACGTCCGAGGCATCGTAGCCGATCTTCTTTAACACCACGGCCGCCACGGTGATGGCCAGCGGGACCCCCCAGCTGCAGAGGACAGGGCAGGGCACAAGTCAGGCGGGGCGACCTGGAGAACACAGGCCAGGAGTCCTCAGACCCGTCCACCTCCTCCACTGGGCTGCGCTCAGAGTACAGAGCCAGGGACTGTGGGCCGTGACCTCCTGCTGGGATACCCCTCCCACGGTCCGCGAGACCAGCGCTGGGAGGCTAGAGTCGGGGACACCAGTGCCTGCCTGCACCCAAGGGGCCCTGCTTGTCACATCAGCCCCTACACTTCCCCAAGACTGGGGTACACACGTGGGAGTACACACATGGGGGTTCCTCTCCAACCTGGAGAGGACATCTCACTCCCGAGAACCCCTGACTCTGGCACGGGTGCACCCTGCCCAGGCTCCCAGGGGTCCATCAGGACACCACCCCCTCAAGAGCAGGTTTGGGATCAGTGACAGCAGCGCCCCCCCGCCCCCAACTCAGGAAAGCATGTTTGATGGTGGGGGGCAGCAGGGTGGCAAGAAGTCTCGGGGGGCACCCGCCTGGACTCAGGACACCAGGATTTCCTCCTCAAAGGGACGCTGACCTCAGCAGGGTATCACGAGGGCTCCCCGAGGCCAAGTGTGACAGTGTCCACATCCTGCCCTGGGCATTCCAGTGCCGGCCCCATGGGAGACGCAACAGTTCCCGTCTGGGGGGTGGGGGCGGGGCAGCAGGACACAGGGTCTGTGTCGTGGGAGGTGCCCAGCGGGGTGCGCTCAGCGCTGGGTCTGGTTCTGACACTGGTCCAAGTGGGAGAGCTTGGGGCAAGGCCGTGGCTCCTGTGGCAGGTAGTGGGGGGCCACGTGGAGGCCACAGGGTGAACGGGGTGCAGGGCCTTCCCCGCTGGTCACCAGGGCACAGGAGGGGGTCCAGCAGAAGGAAAGGCCCAAGGGAGGGCTGGAGCACAGGCTGTGCGTGGGAACCTGGCAGCACCGGATAGGACCCCAATCAAAGCCCACGTAGGCCCAGAGTGACAGCTGGGAGGGTGCCTAACTTGCACGCAGCAAACCAGGCTGGACTCCCAGCACCCCACGTGGTCCCCCTGCGCCACCAGGCATGATCCCTGAGCACAGCTGGACGAAGCCCCCAAGCAAAAATAAAACCAAATCAACAGGGAAGGGAGAGGGGAAATATCATAGCCCCCCTCACCCCCCACCCCGGGAGCTGGTGCCTTTTGTGGGTGGAAAAGCTCCCCTCCTTTGCCCTGCGTGGTGCCAGTGCAGGTGACCCGGCCACACAGTGAGCTGTGCTGCATGAGGCTGTGGTGTGCCCGTGGCTGCCACTTGGGGGCGCCAGAGGGCAGGAGGGGGGGGCTGACTCTTGGGGCTGCACCTGGAGCCTTCCCGGGCCACATTTGTGTGTTTTAGTTGTGCATTTATTAGGGTTGTTTTAGTTTAGTTTGGGGGTCACAGCCACCATGCTTGGGGGCTATACCCACCTGGGTGCTCAGAGGGCACTCCTGGGGGTAAGTCCAGGCCTCCTGCCAGGAGAGCCCATGTTCCGGCCCACTGAGCCATCTCTCCCGCCCTCTTTCTCCCTGTCATAGAAAGGGTCACAGTTCCCAACTCGTGCAGCCTGCTGTGTCTCAGGACACCAGCTGTCCCCGCTGTGAAGTCCCCGAGGGACGCTGGCTCCCTGCTCTGGCTTCTGTGTCTAGGAAACGGTCCACACGTGCTTGGGCAGGACAAGGCCTTGAAGGAGGAAAGTCCTGAGCATGCAGGCATGTGCATGTGCGTGTGTGTGTGTGTGTGGGGGGGGAGGTTGCACACAATCACTCTAATGGGGACCGAATGGAAGGGACCGTGAGGGATACACTAGGCAGAAGGCAGGAGAAGCTCTGAAGTCGGGGTGTCCTCGGGGGCTGTGTCTCACCGAAGCTCAGAGTGGGGGTGTACCCTGAGCCCAGTCTGTTAGGGCCCAGCCAGGGACGACTAACAGGCCTCTGCCATGGCCCAGGCTAGGGCTGAGGATCCGTGGGAATCGGGGGAGGCCGGGCCTGTCGCCTGACCCAGCAGGCTCAACCTGACAGGGACCCGGGGCAAGGCCCGAGCAGAAGGCGGGCTGTGTGCTGGGGAGGAATAGCCAGCAGCGTTCCAGAAAAACACGTGTGTGCGTGTGTGTGCACTGTCTGTAGATCCCACTGCTCCAAGCGAGGAAATGACCCAGTTCTACAGAGTGAAGGTGCACTCTACACAACGCGGTCCCCCAGCACCCCCAGGAGTGATCCCTGAGGACAGAACCAGCAGTTATCCCCGAGCACCGCCGGGTGTGACCCCCGAAACCAAACCTAATAAAATTGAAAAAAAATTAAAAAAAAAAAACTCACAAAATACACACCACTCCTTCAGGGCCAACTGACCACTGCACTCCCCACAGTCGCCTCCGGGGGACTCAGCTAGTGAGAGCATGGCCAGTCCCAAAGGGGTCCAAACAGCGCTGGGAGTGGAAACATTCACCGACAGGAAGACAAGGCCAGAGCAAGCGGGAGGACTGGGAACGTTTCCTCTGTCCCGTTCTCTTGTCCAGAGCCGGGGCCCAGCGAAGCCTACTGCGCAGGCCAGTGTGACCTACTGTCTGTCTTGTAGTCACTCTGGTGGGGGGGCCCCCCACACCTGGTGGTGCTGGGGGAGGGGGTGTCATGCACTGCCTGGGATACATCATGCATGCAAGATTCGCTCTAACCACTGAGCGACATCCCCGGCTCCCCAAGGTCTGTGTTTTAAACCCAGGCTTGTTCTCTGGGGTAAGAGGCACTCTCGGCGGGCCATGCAGTGCCAGGGATCAAACCCAGGGCTTCCATATGCAGAGCACCTTACGGTCATTCCCTGGCATATTTAAATAAAGTTTTATTAGCACCCAGCCTCCTTCCTTCACAGGTGGCCTGGAGGCCAGCGAGTGGCCAGAGCCATGAGCGACAACCCCCTGCTGCTTTCCAGGCAAGTTTGCCGGCCTCTCCTCGCCAACCCTGACTTGTGTTCACAGCACCAATAATCCCATCGTGCTGACTTCAGGCCACGACACACCTCACTGGGGACACGGGCACGTCAGCCCACAGCTTCTCCCAGACAGACGCTTGGCACGGCGGAGGTTAGCAAAATCAGTGAAATCAGGAGTTATTGGTAATTTTACTCGTTTCATAGTTTAACTGTAATGAAATTTTTGTAAGTTCATTGTAGGTTTTTCTAACTTAATTTCTGTTGGGTTTTGGCACACCGAGCAGTATTCAGGGGACACCCCCTGGGATTCCCAAGGAGCCATATGGCACCAGGGATCGAACCCGGGCTTCCTCCATGCAAAGCCTGTGCTCTGACCTCAGAGCCATTTCCCTGGCCTGTCTGTCACCTCATGTTCAATAGCACAGCGGGTAGGGCGTTTGCCTTGCACGTGGCTGACCCGGGTTCAATTCTTCCGTCCCTCTCGGAGAGCCCGGCAAGCTACCGAGAGTATCCTGCCCGCATGGCAGAGCCTGGCAAGCTTCCCGTGACATATTCGATATTCCAAAAACAGTAACAACAAGTCTCACAATGGAGACGTTACTGGTGCCCACTCGAGCAAATTGATGAACAACGGGAGGACAGTGCTACAGTCACCTCATGTTCAAAAATGGTCACATCCAACCTGAAGCTCACAAATGTCCTAAAGTACAATTACGGGGTCTCACAGCTGGCCCCAAGGATCGCGGGGCTGGGGGCTTAGTGTCCAGCCCCATCTTCACATGTGTGAGGGGGTGCGGGGAGAAATGGGTACGGGGGTCCCTTGGTCGTGGGGTGGTGCCAGGAGGTGTGAACTGTCCTCGAGACAGAGGCGGAAGTGACACCCTGGATTCTGTAAGACTGTAAGGGCAATCACACTACAAGGGGGGGGGGGGGGAAGGAGAAGCTGCTGATGACGCCCAGGCCCTGGGCGGGGGGAGGACAAGCTGGTAAGTCGGACATGCAGATCGGCTGGGCTGGGGGTCCCCTGAGCTGTGGGGGCAGGAAGCTGCTGCACCCTGTGCAAAGACGAGCTTGCAAGATTCCCTGTTTCCAGAGATGCCTTCAACTTCGACTCTGGGCCCTGGGACTGTTTCTTCTTCTTTTTCTTTTTCTCCTTTTGGGTCACACCCGGCAATGCACAGGGCTCACTCCTGGTCGTGCTCAGGGGACCATCTGGAATGCTGGGGATCGAACCCGGGTTCGCCACTTGCCAGGCAAACGCCCTCCCCGCTGTAATATCTCCAGCCCCGGGACTGTTTCTTAACCCTCCAGAACATGGTGCTGTCAAGTAGAAAATGAACAAATTCTGACCCAGCCAGGGCCGGAGAGATAGCACATGGTTAAGACACCAGCCCGGGGGCTGGAGCAATACACAGCAGGTAGGGCATTTGCCTTGCACACGGCCGACCGAGGTTCGATTCCCAGCATCCCATATGGTCCCCCGAGCACTGCTAGGAATAATTCCTGAGTGCGGAACCAGGAGTAATCCCTGAGCATGGCTGGGTGTGACCCAAAAACAAAGACAGAAACAAAAAAGACACCAGCCCGGCCACAGCCTGTTCGAGCCTGTTCCCTGTTCGAGCCCCGCCAGCAGCGATTCCTGAGCACTGAGCCAGGAGTAAGCCCTGAGCAGCAACCAGGTGTGGCTTCAAACCCCCTCGCCCCCTCAAATCAGAACCAGAGCCAGCTTACTCACAGCATGTGGGGAAGCCGGTGCTCTGACTGGGAACGCCCTGAAACTGGTGTGGTTGGGTGGGGCTGCGGCCGATGCCCAGCCGTGGGTGGTAGAGAACTCTCCTGGGCTGGGAGACACTGTGACCCACATTTCAAACCTGACAAGCTGGCACCAGTGCCAGGCCGAGCTGCTCACCACATCAAGAGACTGCAGCTCCATTCTGAGAGGGCGGGCGGCTAGGGCCGACCTGGGCATTCACCGGGCAGACACATGGTCACGTGCCTGGCACCGGGAGGGCCTGGTTAGAACTGCCCCTCTCCATGCCTGGGGCTCCAAGGTCACCT